GATGGAGGATAGGGCACATGGTGTCTTCGGACCGGGGGGTTTGGCCGGTTGGAATATCAGTACTGAGGGCTTGCGAGGATTGATTACCGAGGCCCGAAGAATAACGCAAACACGGAGTGCAGCGAGTTATGTCAGCAATGCGGAAGTTTGCTAATTTTTTCATTGGCCGAGTACGAATGTAGTCACTGGCGTGGACTCGTATACGGTTGCTAGCAGTCCTGAAAACGTCTGAAGTTCGAGCATGTCGTTGACGACAATTTTTGATGAAGTTGAACTACGAAGTCGTGGCCACGGTAGTCGGGTGAACGACATCCAACTACATTGACGACCGTCTGTTTCCTGATCATGCGAGCCGGGAGCAGAAATCGGCAGGTCCGTAGATCGAGCTGGTAGGTAGGCAGGCTGGAGAGCATTGCTTTTTCATAAAGACTGACGAAAGCGACGCAGGACATCTCAGACAAAATAGTGATGGAGAACTCGTTATCAGTTACTTCCGTGTGAGATTCTGTCGGTCCCCTCGAAATCATACGTTTCGTCTGAATCCGAAGATCAAACCCTTACATAAAGAATGCAAGTGTTCAATTTGGCTTTGTAGCACATGCCAAAAGGCTAGTCTTCGAAATGCTGGTTGCAGACTTCATGAGAAATGCCGTCATGGATAAAGCTGCGAGCAATAGCCAGATTTTCACCGCAGAAGCAGTGTCCCAGTCGTCCAATACGCTATTTTTGGCAGATTTGAGTAATTTGACTCAATTTAGACATACTCAGTCGCGTTGGTGGGACTCGAGCCCACGATGGTAGGGATGGACCGAATTAAGTCGTGGGTTGTTGTACTGCAGACAGAGATTTTGCTCGGTAGACGGATGCTCACAACGGAATAGTCGCAGACGGCGTTATGCAGCCAGGTTACAATAAAATGAAACAAGCGCTTCGGAGTGCAACAGAACGCTGTGGCCTGTGGGTGTCAATCTCTGCCGCAGAGTGCTGTGGCAATGTTTTGTGACGGCCCATCATTAAAGACAATGGCAAGAGGTCCGTTGATGCCATTCGGAGGTATTTTGATCCACAGAGAAGGGGACATTTTTGAAGGCTGTTTGGGGAATATGAGCACGGACGGATCCTTAACAGTCGCTCGAGTTGTTTTCAGTTCCGTCTTCTGGCGGTTCGATTTGGCGACGCGTAGCTGCGCGACAGCTGTGCAAGATAAACCTATTTAATGGCGTTGCGCGATTACCGTATCAGATGCTGCAATCTGGGTATGGCGATGTTTTACGGGGCAACGGCGTGTCCGACTTTAGTTTTGCGTTCGCTGTTAATACTATCACTGATGGTTCGTGGCTGCTTTCTAGTGAGACGTCGGGGTCGGCTAATTTCGGAATACGCTGAATGCCGTCCCACCAAAAGCCAACGTTGGATGCACCACGTAGCCGACAGGCAGATTCCTCTTGGCACGGACATCGCGAACCGCGTCGAACGCTTTGGCGAAGTCAGTGATGGTCGCGGTGTCCCACTTAAGAAGAGTTTTGCTTATCCATAATTCGGGACTCCCTTGTTTCCCATGGGAGTCTTTGCATTCATTTGAGAGGGAGGATAACGAATTCGATGGCACCTCACCTCCGCATTCAATGTCGAGAAGTTGGCTAAGCAGAGTAATTAGTTACGCGGGGAGCTCGCGCGTATGCAGTGCTGTTGGTGGCAGCGCTTGTTAGTCAAATGCTAAGTCACTACGTCGCTCACTAACACTGCCGGTGGGATTAAAACAAGTAACAATTAGGATGTTCATGAAAGGCAGTCATCGAAACGAACGCGGACACTTGGCATGTGGGGTCCGCTAGTTTCCGTTGGTTGCATGACATTTGTACCCCAAAAGCGCTAGTACCAGTGCGTCAGATATATTTGTCTGCTGCCGTTCTCGAAGTCAGGCGGGCCAAATGCTTGCTTTAGCTGCCGAGTCACCGTCCCGGGCCTCTTCATTTTGCGTGGCGTGTTTGTGTTATTTTGTCGTTTGAAACAGCATTATATGCGTGGGTGGAAACCTTGCTGGTCTGTTCACGAGAAGTTGCACCCTAATTATTTGCTTACATCCATTTCACGACAGAAGTTCTCTTGTGCTGAAGATTATCTTCTAACATCATATGAAACCCTGGGAGCTCTGACTGGGGTGAGTTGTTGATCTCCATCTGATCGAAAATACGAGCAAGACGGCATTTAGCCAGTCTGGCATTTTTTACTCCTAATGTGTACATATGGGTAGGGGCATTTTTTGTAAAATATTCCTGTTCAGCACTCCTTGACATTGTTAGAAATAAGCGATAAAAACGATCTAATGGGTTCTTTCGTCAGTCTGCAAATTTGGTACCTGTAATTTGCACATTCGCAACGAACAGAGGGATGTACATCAGATGTTTTTCATCGTCACACGGATGTTCCGTCTTCTTTTAGGGCCGATGGCGGTCGGCCAAAGCTGAGGGCCCTACATTCGCTGTCAGACGTAGGAGGTTGGACGGTTGTCATCGTCGCTTGCTTTTATTACCTTGTTAAACAGTCGTGATCTCAGAAACACCCCACAAACAGATCGAGAAGTATTACTAACAACGACATGAAACATGAACAGGAAACTCGTGCTCATCTAGCGATCAGAACAGATTGCAGAAGGCCACCCTTATGTGTTGCTAAAATCGTTTCAATAAAGTACCGGCACTTCCATCTGCTAATCCCATACATGCCAGCTTGCTGTCCGGAGGTTGGTTCGTGTCCCTACCCAAGTCTAACAAGGGCGGTTGACGAGGAGTTTCCTGCGCCCCAGGCCACTGAACATAGTGCGGTCCATAAAGTAGGCCGTGACTTCCTAAATCTTTGAATCTGTTAGAAGCGGCCATTCATGGGTAGTGCATAGGGTCGTTTAACCCTCTTAGTGTATTAAACCCACTCGTCAGGCAACACGGTTGTTCGAAATAGCAGACGACGGTCTCATAATTGGGGAGGATGACTAGACGGTTGTATTAATTTACCTTATCATTGCGTAAAGCAAGAAAACGGGTATTTTAACTTAGAGAGTTAGTGAACTACGACTCTTATATTTCCTAATAGTCGCGCGCCGTAGGTTATGCCAATATATTCAACTTCCACTCTCTGTGGTGTGACAACATCATCCTCTAACTCGGTCTAGTTTTTCGGGGTCTTTCGAACACCCAAAGCTATGATCGTCCAGGCCGTCCTGCGTCCGAGATATACAACTATGTCAGTGTGTCCTATTGTTTCAGCCTTTTTCGATGGTGACGCTAGTCATATGAAAGTTCATTTCTCGGAAGAACATATCAAAGACCGCGAAACAAAAGCGGTTGCGCGTCTAGGCGTAACACAAAGTGTGAACTTTACGCAGTCACGTGTCTTTGTCGGTAATACCATACTACAGTCACGTGCTCATGGTGTGATGACATAAGCGCAAAAGCGGGGGAGTGGTGATCAAAGATGACTCAGCTAACACAGCTTACAACAAAAACAATATTTAGAGGTGACTTGGACCAGAGCCCAAGCCTGTCCGCTCATCCGGGCGGACATTAGGAATATTCACAGTATTCAGTAGTTTCGTACTTTGTCTTTCCTTAATCTCTCTTAATGGTCTGAGTCTGAATATCTCGGTCAACCATACCAAATCAAACCTATGCGCACGAAGGAGTACCAACTTCCTCATTAGTTCATTTCGTCTGGGGACGGGTTGGTGTTGCTGACATGGAAATTCACAAGTGCAACTCGGTTTCTCTCGAAGAACTCCCTCCGCTTCATCATGTCGGCTCGGAACCCAGGCCAATGTCGTATTTATGACGGTCCGACCGTCGATTCTGACGATGTCCACCGCTTACTTCATGGCAGGCTGAAAGTAAGCGCGGTGACTTGCGTGCGGATTAGTTTATAGTGATAGTAGGCTTTCAATGCACCTACCACAGCCCCTTCTCCCCCAACCTGGACCCGCTTTCTTGACAGTCAAAAAGATCGAAGGCAGAAGAGAACGCAGGTGGCTGGCGCGGCGGAAATCCGCACTGAAGCGTACCACCACGCTCCCTGGTTCACAAACACGACCAGGATTTTAACCAACAAGAGGAGAGGGGGGCGACTCGGATCCCACGGAGTGGGAGTGCCATAGAGGCCACATCGCGAAGGAGCCATTGCAGCCTGACACTCATTCCGCCAGTCGGTCACTCCACACACACAGATGACTGCGCGGTCCGAGTTATCCCTCAGTTTTCAGCCTTCCAAGCCACGGCTTTTTGCACACCGTGATAGTCTCAAGCGCGTCAGATTTTTTAGAGTGAGAAATTATGCGCTGAGACGTCAACCTCACTCTTTTCCCACTCGCAGACCCCAGCCACCGTCAAAGCTGGTCACTTGCCTGGCCCGGGGATTGGGTGCAGTGGCTAGTGTCCTCGTCTGCGCGTGCACGCACGACCTGACTTCCCAAACAAGCGCCAGGGTCTCACACAAAAGGGGGTTGACGGCATGGGTCTCGCATGCGGGAGAGTGCCAGAGGTCGCCTGGAGAAGGAGCCTGTGCAGCCCGACCCTCAGTCTACCAGTCGGCCACTCTGCACAAACACTGGATCAACCACAAGGTTTGAGTTCCAGTTGACAACCTTCCAAGCCACGGCGTGCAGCGCACCGTGATAGTTTCAGGCTCAGATCATCCATGCGACAGAGGAGCCACGTCCACAAGGAGCGGAGGAACACACTTCCCGCTTACGTAAGGAGTTCCAATTACGTTCTTGCATTGTGTGATGTGAGGTGTGGCCACTTGTGCTGTAGGTACTGGTGGGGAGAGGTGTGGTGGCGTGCTGTGGCCGACAGGGCTCCACTACAGGAGGCGTATGCTGCCTAACAGGCCCACGCAATGGCTGAACGTACGAGGACAGCGCGGGCAATTGAGGCGACGGCCTCTGGTGTATGTCGATGCTTCAGGCACCGAGTCGCCAGTTTTGCAATGGATTGGCAAGTGACCGACCAGACCTATGCGTCAGGTGAGTGTGCGATCGCAAGAGGATAGGTTAGGACCGAGTCCACATCGCTGGAGATGGGGGTGGTAATGGTGAGGGTGGTGGTCGTCGGGCCCTTGGGGGAGTTTTGTTCGGTGGTGGGAGGGCGAGCCGGGGTGGTTGCATCGCCGCCGTGGAGGTTGTGGCAGAAATGATAGAGATAGAGGTGGCCAACGGCGGGAGCCCAGGGGTGTTGAGCATCGGCGGTGAGGGCGGTCGTTGTAGTGGACGCCGTGGACTTGGAGCAGCGGCTTTAGAAGGGGCAGCGGTTGAGGTTGTCGGGCTGGTGCATTGAGTCCGCGGACGTCCGATAAGGCCGGTCCGCGCGCGCGAAATGTTCGCCAACAGCGCGGGCGTGTTAGGAGGGGTTGGGAGTTGGCGTTACGGGTCAGGCGTGCCTAATTGCGAGCCTTCATTTTGGCTTTGGCAGTTACGATCCGGTTGGCTCTGTACATGGCTGCTTCAACCTTTACTGTTCTCCAGACCGGCTGGTTCTGTGCGGAGTCTTCTCAAGAAATGGGATTGAAATTTAGTTGCTTTACGGGATCCTTCAAGGTGTCCGAGGGTTAAGAGTTCCATGCCCCGTTGCATGTCAGCTTCTGTCTCGGTGTGAAGTGCGCAGTCGCCAACGGAGATTAGGTTGTGGATAATAGTCTTAGAGAGGCGAGTTGAGGCCTGCATGTGCTGACTGTTGGGAAGATGGGCGTCGGCCATGCAGGCGGTGCGGATCCCGAGGCGCTCATCACTGTAGGCTTCCATCAGCGTGGCAGGAAAGATTAGGCTGAATAGGGTTGGGGCGAGTACGCAGCCCTGTCTCACTCCGTTGGTTAACGCAAATGCTTCTGGCATGGTCCCCTTGTCCATGATGTGCGCCACCATTCCGCTGTGGAGCCGATGCACCATATTTGTGAATCCTTCAGGCCAGCCTAATTTCTGCATGATTTTCCACAGCCCATAGTGATTTACCGTGCCGAGGGCTTTCGTCAAGTCCACGAAAGAAGTGAGCTGCCAACGTTTTAACACGTGTAACTTGGCTTATATGTGATTAAACTCACAGCATCGGCCGGATATTTGTATCATAGGGGCAGAGAGTGTTGGCTGTATTAAGGCCTTGCCAATGCCATCGTGGGCTCGAGTCCCACCAACGCGACTGAGTATGTCTAAATTGAGTCAAATTACTCAAATCTGCCAAAAATAGCGTATTGGACGACTGGGACACTTTGCTTCTGCGGTGAAAATCTGGCTATTGCTCGCAGCTTTATCCATGACGGCATTTCTCATGAAGTCTGCAACCAGCATTTCGAAGACTAGCCTTTTGGCATGTGCTACAAAGCCAAATTGAACACTTGCATTCTTTATGTAAGGGTTTGATCTTCGGATTCAGACGAAACGTATGATTTCGAGGGGACCGACAGAATCTCACACGGAAGTAACTGATAACGAGTTCTCCATCACTATTTTGTCTGAGATGTCCTGCGTCGCTTTCGTCAGTCTTTATGAAAAAGCAATGCTCTCCAGCCTGCCTACCTACCAGCTCGATCTACGGACTTGCCGATTTCTGCTCCCGGCTCGCATGATCAGGAAACAGACGGTTGTCAATGTAGTTGGGTGTCGTTCACCCGACTACCGTGGCCACGACTTCGTAGTTCAACTTCATCAAAAATTGTCGTCACCGGTATGTCCGACTCCCTTCGAGGCAGTCATTTCCCGGTAGATGCGCATATTCGAACTTCAGACGTTTCCAGGACTGCTAGCAACCGTATACGAGTCCACGCCAGTGACTGCATTCGTACTCGGCCAATGACAAAGTTAGCAACTAAATTTCCGCATTGCTGACATAACTCGCTGCACACCGTGTTTGCGTGATTCTTCGGGCCTCGGTAATCAATCCTAGCAAGCCCTCAGTACTGATATTCCAACCGGCCAAACCCCCCGGTCCGAAGACACCATGTGCCCTATCCTCCATCGCCCGCACCATCGTTTGCGGCAAATGATCTTAGGAAAGGTTAGGCGTTCGAACGTCCCAGTCTCAACTCACAGGAGTGTTGCAGACGCTTGTAGGAGATAGAGTCGCATAACATTTAGATTCAGGGAGACTACAACGGTCAGTTGTCCCCACTAAGGCGTCTCATGCCACCTCATATTACTAGTAAGCACACTTACAATTCGCCTCGACGCGCGCGCAGTGTTCAATGGCTTTTCAACAAAATGCTAACAAGCACGACTCAGGTTGTAGCACTTTACGTCTGCTAACGCTGATAGGCACCCCGAACACGCTAGATGTTAGGTGGTCAGAGGCCTCATTTCATGGCATCAGCAACAATGGAGTCCAAGTCAACCGCCGCTAGGTGGTAAAGTTGCCCTTGCGGCCTTCCGACGTAAGACTACCTGCACTACAACGTCAAATTCTATATATCCAATGTGGTGACGGCCGCAGTCGTATTAGTTTAGTCGGCAAGTATGGTCTGTACGAGGTAAGTTTCGCAGAGGCCTTGTGCACAGAGATGATACACTAAGCGTTCAAAATAGTCAGAAGAAGGGGTGGCTAGCATACGCAGCTTTCGATAAATTCTCGTCGGGCCAGTACAGTTATATGGGAACGAGGTAGAAGTTAAACATTTCGGCAATACGAAAAATCGATAAAAGTTCTCCTTAAAATATAGGCGGAGTGTGGGAATGTGAGGGAGGG